TTGACTAGGATAGCTGTAGTGGTGGACAGTCTGCAGAGCTGGGAGATAGTTTGAACCTAAAGCTGATAGGGCATGTTGGTAGATGGGCTGTGGAAGGTAAGAAAGAGCAGGCAAGGGTAAGTTGAGTTTTGGGCATCAGCAGCTAGGTGAGTTGTGCTGCCATTGACTGGTATGAGGAGGACTGAGGGAAGAGCAGGTGTGGGGAAGGTAGTCGGGAATCACGAATTCTGTTTAGAGGCAAGAATGAGCTGCCTTTCAGATATGCAGTGAACACGTTAGTCATTGGTATTTAGGCGGCATTTAAGGTTATGGGATTGGAGCGATCACTTCAGGAAAGAATGAAGACAGAAGTCAGCAGAAAGAGGAGGTGCCAGCAAGCAAGACCACAAATGACATGCCAGTGAGATGAGGAATTACCAGGAGTGTTTGAGTCCTGGAAGTCAAGTGAACCAAGTATTTAAAGAAAGAGGAAGCTATCAGCAATATTAAATGCTGCAAGGTGTCAGGTAAGGGCACTGATCTGACAAGATAGTCCACGTTGGTGGTCTTCAGAAGGATGTTTTCAGTGGAGTGAGAACAAAAGCCTACTTAGTTTGAAGGAAGAGTGTGAGATAGGAAAGTGGAAACAGCCTGTGTAGATAACTCTTTAGAGGAATTTCGCTCCGAAGGAGAAGAGAGAAAGGCTGCTAGAAGGATATGTTGGCTGGAGGGCGGTTTTTTTTTTTTTTTTCCTAGTAAGATGGAAAATCATTTCAGCAGGTTCTTAGGCTTCTTGGTGTGATCCAGTGGAAAGGAAGCATGATCATTAAGTGAATGTGAAGGGATGGGGATCCAAGAAGTAGAGAGGGCACCACTGCCATCGAGTCAGTTCCAGCTCATAGTGACCCTCTATGTAGGACAGAGTAGAACTGCCTCATAGGGCTTCCCAGGCTGTCATCTTTACGGAAGCAGACTGCCACATCTTTCTCATGCAGAGCAGCTGGTGGGTTTGAACTTTTGACCTTTTGGTTAGCAGCTGAGCGCTTAACCACAGCAGGGATAGTTCATGCATTGTAACAGGAGGGAAGCCAGAGCGAAAGGATATACATGCAGATAGACTGGGAAATTTGTTAGTGGGATGATTCGTAGATGTTTGCCGGATTGCTTCTGTTTTTCTCAACATAAAACTACATCATCAGCTGAGATGGAGGAGTTTTGAGATGAAGGAATAAAATAGTTATCTCAGACAGTGAAAAAAGGTAATTCACTAGAGAATTGTAGTGCTTAGTGTTCACTTGAGTTTCACAAGCATAAGTTTAAAATGGGACCAGTCTCAGGGTTGTGGGTTATTTTATCCAGCCACATGTAGGTGCTTCGTGGCAGGCACAGAGTAACCAGATCAATGATTTAACTTAGAGCCTCAATTTCCTTATTCTAAAATGGCAATAATATCTTTTTCAGGGGGTAGTTTTAAGAATTAACTGAAAATTAAGAAAATTTTGGCATAATATTTGAATTAGGCTTTTCAGTTTACAATTCTGTCATAAAATATTGGGCTTATATATCAGTATTCTTAAGGATATAATTTAAATAGCTCTATTTTGAGAGTTGGGTGAAATTCGCTAGTATTAAACCTGTGGGGAGAAATTATTGATTTGGCTCTTAATATGTTGTTCTGGCTCTTGATTTATTTATGCCAGAATAATTTCCCAGAAAAACATAGGAATGGGACTGGGAAGGAACATACCATGACATTTTTCCTTGAATTTCAGAGGCAAGTGCAAAAACCTGTGACGGTGTACAATGTGCCTTTGAAGAACTGGTTGAAAAGATCATTCAGACGCCTGGACTGTGGGAAAGCGAGAACCAGACCAAAGGAGTGAAACTGTCCCACCGGGAGGAAGGTCACGACGGCGGGGCGTGCGGTGGTTACTGCTCGGTGGTATAGACTTGGGAGAGATCCCCCTTCGCACACGCAATCAGATAGTGACATCTTTCTGTATATAAACTCTTTAACTGCTCTGTTAGGGACCTTGCAGTTTGCACACGTTTGTTTTGTATCATGACAGTAAATATTTGCAGGAAATCCCACTCATCGGCTTTCCCAGGTAACATGGTAAGCATGCAGTTTGCAGTCTGCCGTTTTTTTATGTGACATAAAATAGGTGTACCTTTGTAAGTACATTTGATTTTATGATTTACATTTATCATGTAATTTTTTAAAAAATCCATCTATTTAGTATATGTTGATACAAGATCTTTTAAAAAATCCATCTATTTAGTATATGTTGATAGAAGATCTGCTTTTGATCTCCTTTTTGCTTAAATCCTTCTATTGATTATTGAATTACTTGGTATGCAGAACTCCCAGAAACACTGGGGGGTATGCATATATCAGCAAACCTGACAAGTTTTCTTTCAGGAATAACAAAGAGCATGATTCCACAGCTTTTCTAGGATGTTTGCTGACAGATTCTCTTTTAGTATTAAGAAAAATTCTCATTACAGAAAGTAGCCCAGGCCAATTTATAATTAAATCTCTATTTGTTCTGATGATGCTTCTAAACTAGCATTGGTATGTTAAAAAAGTTTGGTCTTACTTTTTAATTTACTTCAATTAGTAACTTAACTATTTAAGTAGAGTTTTAATCCCGTGGTGTGTACATTGGACTCCTGGCTCTTTCGTGCAGCGTTTTTAGTTCTGTGGTGGTTGGCAGTGACAGTAAGCTTTTCCCCGTTTTGGTTTCAGAAGGACATGAATAGTGTGTTCACCGTAACTCACAGAGTTCTTATGACTTTTAAAACCAACTCCCTTTTTTCATAAATGTTGTTAGTGTTTGTCCAAGTACCTCAGTTGTAACTTGTTGAATGTTTATGAATATCAGTATCTTGACTTCGTAAATGGCTAGTTGACATTCAAAAACCTATTTCTGTGTTTTGAGAGGTGGGAGGAAAAATAACACTAAATGACAGTTTGAGAAGGGCATATTGCATCCCGATTCTGGTGTGGGTGGGAGAATACTGTCGCAATGAAAATCTTGATAATTTACCGTAACAAGTAGCCAACAGCTTTACCAAACCAACTTGTACAGACTGATAAATCTTTTCCACAGTATTCATTTTCTAACCTGTTGCTGTTGTACATTATATATTTATTTTCACTCATTTAATTTACCTTGATCTCTGACGTTTTAATCACCAAAATAAATTGTCCTTTACGGCCGGTCACTGTAATACCCCTCAGTAAGATTCTGGTATTAATTTCTGGGCAGTTTGTTCTCTGTATACAGTCGCAACTGATGAGCATTTTTGTGGGTCACCTTTACAACACGTGTTTTATTGGATTTACTTCAAGTTGGGTTCTTTCTGAAATGTACATCTTCACGTATGAAAACCTCACATTCTACTTGGTTAACGCTTGTTAGACTATGTTACATGTGATTAAAGGTTTTATACAGTCTGTACACTTTTACTAAATATAAAACATTCACTACTATAATGTTGGAGAAAGGTAGCTAACACCGTGTACTTATGATTTGTTGTGTAACATTAAAACTTCGGATTTGTATGTTTATATGGCGTGTGTATTGACACAACTTCTCTGTTTATTGCTTCTGGCTCCTTGAGCTACAATAATCTTCCTTTCTGTGCATTGGATTGTTGTCTTGATTTGGTCAGAATTTGGATACATATGAGTCACTTGAATATAACTTAAAAAACTAATGTTGTTTGATTTACATTGTAACCTTTTATAGTTTTTGAATAAATATAATAGCCTGCTTTCCCTAGATGCGTTTGTGTAGGAAGTATTATACATTTCCCTATTACTCTCATCAGCTAAGGACCACCTGAATACAGTGTTATTCAAATTTTATTATATTAGTTGGCTTTCATTTTACTATTTTGTTGCACTTATTTCATAGTGGAGGTTTCATAAGTGAGGCGGTTATAATACCTAAAATCAATCACTTCAGTAAATGAGGGTTTTGTTATTCTTTTCAGAAACCTTTAAATAGTCTTAAAGTGCCTTTTGCAGATGGTACAAATTAGAACAATTAGAATATAGTGTTTTGAGTTCTAGGCATACTGACATAGACCTAAGCAAATAAATAATTAACTGCATTAAATTTCTATTAAGAGTAATAGTTAACATTTATTGAAAGCTTCCTTGTTGCCAGGTGCTGTTCTAAGTGCTGAATTATTAAACCTCACAGCAGCCTTCCCAGATTGGTACTCTTCTTATCTCCCTCTTAAAGATGAGGATACTGAAACCTAGATATGTTAGATAACTTCCCAGAGACCGCTTAGCTAATCAGTGGTGGAGCTGGAGTCCAGGGAAGGGATTTTCACTCCTGAGCCTGTACTCTTAACCACTGCTCCTTTTAGTATGACCAGTTACTAGCTTTTTGTGGTAACCCTGCAGGTTTAAGGTAGTTCCCGTTTCTTTATCACTCTCTTTATTATATGTAATGAAATTATTTCAGATTTATTGGTTATAGAGTGAATCCTGTTGATGTAAGACAGCCCTGTAAGTCATTTGACCTAAGAGTAGAGTAGGTGGTCTCTTAGTCCTATTACCTTCTGAGGGGGGGAATGAAAATCCCTGACTTAGAAAAGGTACAGAGTGAGGGCATTTATGGCACCTTAACTTCCTTTTTGTAATTAGATGTGGGAACAGTCTTTTACTTGAAATTAAAATCTAGTGAGTGTTTTCATTTCAAGTACTTAACTGCTGTCTACAAACTCATACTTGGCATTGAGCTTCTAATTGAGTGCAGTGAAATTAGACTTAATTTTGATTCATTGTAGTTTGCATACTCAAGAAATATGCATGATTCTGTACTAAGTGTGGTACTGATCCATAGCTCATAAGAGGACTCTTCTACACCAGTACTTAGCTTACTGTGGGATGGTACAGACTTATATCTACATTTTTAAATACAGCTTAATGTGTACTTTTTCTAACTGATTTTCAGGTGAACTGGGATAATCCTTTAGGTACCATAAACTGTAGGTCTTCTCATTATTCAAGCGTCATCCTTCTATTCCTTGGGGTCCATTTTGCCAGTAATACTTAAGACGTGTTTTGTCCCTTACGTATTTTCCATAGTTAGATATAAGATATTTTACTGGTTATGATCCCAACTCTGTGGAAGAAAATCAGCTAGAGACTTCACTGTAGGTTTTGTCTGGAATTGTTAAGAGGATAGATAGAGGTAATGGTCTGAGTCAAGACTTGGGGCTATTAAATATAAATTTACCTAGGAATCCCTCTCTCTCTTTTTTTTTTTCTTCAAAATTGCAGCATCTGTCAGGCTGGAGAAAAAAAGTCAACCTGTTACATTTGGGGCTTTAAATTTTACTGTTGCTGCTAATTTACCGTTCCATATTTAGGAATAAGTAATGTTTCTGATTATAAAAGTGGTGTAAAGTCACCCTCTTGGTTAAAGCTGTTTCATACACACAGACACACATGCTGGTAGGGTATTTCTTTTTTTCAATCCGATAGCAGCAAATTATGTGATTGTATTTGTGTTTATTTGATTACTAGTGAGACTGAGCACTTTAGTATATTTATTGGATATTTGTATTACTTTCTTTAATTCTTTGCTCCCAATACCACCACTCATTTTTTCTTTGGATAACTACCCCGCCCCATTATCACATGTGGTTTGGGTGGGATTGTTGCAACCCCAGCTCTAGGCTTGGCCTGGCCTCCTTCAGCCAGTGCTGTCCCCGCCCCTGGCCATAGTGAATGGTTCAGGGATAGGCTTTTGGCTCCACTCAGGCTACTGAGATACAAGGAGATGTTTGCTGAGGATTCCTCAGGAGCTGCTGAAGAAGACAGCTTCTTGGAGGTAGTGCAGCGTGAGGGTTCAGGTTCTGAATGTGCTGCAGCCAGTTTCTCTCCCGTAAGCGTTCGAGCCCGCCTGATGGCCACACCAAGAAAATGAGGGAATGGAAGCTGGCGCGCTGATGCATTCTGGAATCTCTGCATCAGATCAGACCTGAAGTCGTGTCTGTTTCTGGACTTTTCACTTACATGAGTCAATAAATTTCTTACTTGTTTAAATGTTGGAATTGAGTTTTCTTGCAAATGCACGTGTGCTGTGTAAGTGTATGTTTTTCTCATTTGTACATTGAGTCCAGTATGTTGATAATCATTTACATAAGGAAGAAAATAAAACCACCACTCGAAAAGCCACTCTGCTCTTAAGTGACTGTTAGCAGTTTCGGGAGGTCACGTTCATGTTTCTTCATGGATTGGGGGGTGTGTGTGTGTGTATCTGCATGTACACGAATGCACATATATGTGTATACGTATGTATGTATACACACACACGCACACACACACATTGTATAAATGCTGTTTTAAGGAGCCCTTATAGGTTCTTTTGCTTTTAGATTTAATTTCCTTTGTCATCGGAAAACTCCCTCTCCCATTTCCCGCCTGAGATAATCAGTGTTACAGTCTGACATATGTGCCCTTTCTGCATTTCTTCATGTCCCTGTAATTGTGTACACACACATACACGTATTAACTGTTTATGTTACAAAAGTGGGATCATCTGCATACTAATCTCTGCGTGTGCTTTTCTTTCCTAACAATAGATTTTGAAAATCTCTCCAAACCAGCTTATGTACATCTAACTTGCCCTTTTTAATGATGATAACAATATTCCATGGTATGGAGGTACCACAATTTATTCATCCGTCTGTGAGTGATCATTTACCATGTTACCTTTGTTTTAGGCCCCTGAAGATGGTGCTGTAACAAGTGTCTTTGCACATCTTTTTGTTTGTTTGGGTTAAGTGTCTTAAGAGCTGGATCTGTGGGTCAAACAATGTGTATTTTTAGTTTTGATATGTTTTGTAGGTTGCTTTCTGAATATCTGTAACAGTTTACGTTTCCACTAGCAGTATATGAATGTGTAATATTCCCCTGCGTTTTCCGGCAGCAGCAGGAGGTGTTCGTACATTTTAATTTTTTGCTACTTTGATATTTGTAAGGTGTGATTTTGCTATTACTTTAGTTTGCATTTTCTGTGGAGCATTTTTTTCGTGTTTGTAGGCCATTTGGAGTTGCTCTTCTGTGAAATGATTATTCATATCTTTGCCAATTTTTCGGTTCCGTTTTTTGTGGTTTTGTTATCAGTGATATGGCCTCTGTGTAGAGTTCAGATGTTAACCCTAGTGTGTGGTACAGGCATTTTCCTTTTAACCTAATGTTTGCCTTTTGGCTTTGTTATGCTAGGTTTTTGCTTAAAAAAATTATTTTTTGTATTTTATAGCTTCTGGGTTCCCCAACTCTTAGATTGTACATACCATCTCCTAAACGTCTTCTGAGATTTTTGTTTTATGTTTTGTTTTTAAACTTTTATTGTACCTGGAATGCACTTTTGTTTATGGCACAAGGCAGGGAGCTGTCTTGTTCTTCATATGGATAACTGGTTGTGCCACTACCGTATATTAAATCCTTTTCCTACTGAGTTGTCGTACCACTTTGTCCTGTACTAAATTACTGTACGTATTGGAGTCTACTTTGCATAAGTACTTGGAATCTACCATAAATACTAAAATCTACCTTGCCTGTTGGGTAATCCACCCCTGCACTTACCTCTCACACAGTTACAGCATCACGATGACAGGAATACTATTCAATCACTCTTACAGAATGGCTTCAGGATTACAATTCCATAGAACTACCAGCCACGGACGTCCTGAGAAAAGTCAAAATTTATTTGCATTTCTGTCCTTAGATATTATCTCACTATGGTTGTACAGTCAGAAGTGTTCCAATTATTTGAGTAATTTTTTCTGTGTAGTTTTATTACATTTGGATATAATAAGTCCATTTGTTTCTGCTTGCCTTCAATTTCTGTCATTGTTGTTAGGAGGCATCGAGTTGATTTCGACTCTTAGCAACCCCATGGGACAGAGTAGAACTGCCCCGTAGGGTTTTATTGGCTATAATCTTCACAGGAGCAGATCACCAGGTCTTTCTCTCATGGAACTGCAGCCTTTGGTTAGCAGCCGAGTGCTTAACCGGTACACCACCAAAGGCTCCTTTGCCCTCAGTTTTAGGGTTTAGTTTTCCCATCCCCTTTAGTTTTATTTGTGAATAATTAAAAGAGATGATTCAGAAGTCAGTACTGTATAAAAAGATGTGTCGGAGAAGTTGAGTTCCTATCCTGTTCACTCCATCCTGCTCTCATTCCCCAAATGTGGTCATTATCATTAGGTTCTGGTTTATTCCTCCTGTGTTTTCGTTTCTATTTTTGCAAAAATTATGCAGTATTCTTTTTTCCATCTCTTACACGGTGGTGGTTGTTAGGTGCCGTGGAATCAGTTCTGACTCATAGTGACACCATAGGACAGAGTAGAACTGCCCCATGGGGTTTCCAAGGAGCAGATGGTGGCTTTGAACTGCTGACCTTTTGGTTAGCAGCCAAGCTCTTAACCACTGTACCACCAGGGCTCCACACAATAGTTAGCATACTACATATGCTCTTGAACCTTGCTTTTTTCTCCTAACGTAACCTGAAAAATTATATATGATCAGTTCATAGAGCTCTTCCTCATTCTTGTTATATGGTTGCACTCGCTCCATGGTGTGGATTACATAGTTCGTTCAAACAGTTGCCTATGAATGGGCGTTTGGAGTGTTTGCAATTACAAATAAAGCTGCAGTGAATAACTTTGTATGTTTCGTATTTGTGGAGGATGCATTCCTATGGCAATTTTTAAAGTCACCTTTATTGAGGTACGTTTTACACATAATAAAATGCACTCATTTTAAGAGATGAGTTTTATACTTGTATAACTTGTGTAAGAGCCCCAGGGCACAGTGGTTAAGAGCTCGGCTGATAACCAAAAGGTGGGTGGTTCAAAACCACCAGCCGCTGTGCAGGAGAAAGATGTGTCAATCTGCTTCCATGAAGATTACAGTCTTGGAAACCCTATGAGGCAGTTCCCCTCCCTACTGTAGGGTCGCTGTGAGTCGGAATCGACTTGACAGCCACAGGTTCGGTTTTAACTTGCGTAACAGCTACCACAGTTAAGATAGAGAACGTTCCCACTACCTCAGGAATTCCCTGTGCATAATGCTTGGCTCCCCTTCTTACTCCCGCCTCCAGTCTGCCTGACACTGCCTGGAGCTTTGGGGTGTTGCGGGGACATCAGCTCCTACCCCTATTGCAACCTCTGCCTGCATAGTTAGATTTCATTTTTCACTTCTGTTATTCATTAGAGGACCCATCCTTTTTCCATTTTGCGTTAATCTGTAGAAGTACCTCACGTGGTGTCCTTCACTGCGGTCACTGTTGGCAGTGTTCTTTGTCTCAGTTCCTTTAGTCTATTTTTAACATGGTCTCGGGGGAGACCACCTTACGGGCTTGGGTGTACCACCCTGTAAGCAGGAAGTATTTTTTCTTTTAACTCTTACATTTAATTTTTCATTTTTATATGGACAAAGTGCTTAGTCTTTTCTTTATGGCTTCTGGATTTCCATTTTAGTTAAGAAGGCAACCCCAACCCAGGGTTGTTCAGATATTCCTGTACGTTTTCTCATAGTTTTGTCCTTTCTTTGTTTGGCTTTACATTTCATGGTATGCAATCCATCCGGAATTTATTTTTGTTTATGGTGTGAGGTAAGTCTAAATTTATTTTCTTCCAGGCTGATAGGAAATTATGCTAACAAAATTTATTTTTTCACTGAGTAGAAATGCCATAATTAGTTGATTTATTCAACAAAGATTTGTTTAATACCTCCCATTTGCCAGACACTGTTCTAGGCCCTAGGGATACAACCAGGGACAAATAAAAGTCAGTGCCTTCAGGTAGTTTACGTACTAGGGTGGGAAACAGTAAACAAATAAACTACATTATTCTGAATAGCAATAAGATCTAGGAAGAAAACAGGCCAGGGAAACAGGATGAAAAGGGAAGTCAGGGTCAAGCAGGCCCCATCTTAGCAAGTGACATTTGAGCTGAGACCAGCAAACAAGGAAGGATCCTGCTGTGCATAAGTCTGGGAAAAGAACAAGTGTGAAAGGGCCTGAGCAGATCCAACTTGGAGAGTTCTAGCAAGGCCAGTGTATTTGGAGCACAGAGAGTGAGCCAAAAAGTAGAAGAAGAAAAGCAGGAGTCAGACCATGTAGAACCTTATAGATCCTGGTGAGAGTTTGGATTTCATGCTGCATGAGATGGGAAGCCACTGGAGACCTTTAAACAGAGAAGTTATATCATTTAAGATTAGTTAGGTTCAGACGTGTGTAACAAAGCTCAAAATAATACTTGTTTAAACATGCAAGGATTTATTTTCTTATACAGAAGTCCAGAAGTGACAGTACAAGACTGTTGCTGGCAGCTCCATTGGCCATTTTTATCCTTAGGCTTCCATCTACAAGACTACCTCGTGGTCCAAGTTGGCTGCAAGAGCTCCAGCTATCATATACACATTCCAGGTAGCAGGAAGAAGAGAACGACAAAGAGCATACTTTCTGACTGGGTTAGCTCCTTTTAGGGAACCTTACTGAAGATTTACATCATACTTTTCTACTCATTTATTTCATTGGCTGGAATGTAATCACTTGGCCACACCTAGCTGTCAGGAAAAGTGGAGAATGCTGTCTTGGTTAGGCACATTGCCACCCCCAATAGCATTAAAGTTCTGTTAACAACTGTTGGTTTTCTAGGACTGCCATAACAATTTACCAGAAACAGGGTGGCTTAAAACAAGAGAAATGTATTCTCACAATTCTGGAGCTAGAAGTCTGCAATCAAGGTGTCCGCTGGTCCGTGCTCCCCGCAAGGGAGCTCTAGGGGAGAATCCTTCCTTGCCTCTCCCAGCGTCTGGTGGCTGTTGGCAATCCTGGCGTTCCTTGGTTTGCTGCTGCATCACTCCAGTCTCTGCACCAGTTGTCACATGATACTTCCCCCTGTGTCTGTCTGCCTCCAAGTCTCCATTCCCATATAAGGACACCAGTCACTGGATTTTAGAGCCTGCCCTAATCTAGTATGACCTCAGAGTAATTAATTACATCTTCAAAGACCCTATTTTAAAATAAGATCACATGAGATTCTGTACAGACGTGAAATTTGGGGGACGCTATTCAACTCAGTACAGTATGGAAGAAGGGGAGGATGATATTGGGTAGATAATTAACCAACTTTGCCACGTAAGTAATGTGATCTGATACTATGTTTCCAAAAAAAAATCACCTGTTACCTGAGAGCAACAGTGTGCAGGGAGACCAGAGATGAGGCTGTTCCAAAGGTCTAGGGAGATGACAGTGGTGGCTTGAACTCAGTGGCGACGGGAGGTGGTGAGAAGTGATCAGATCCAAAATGTAGTCTAAAGTGTACACAGGAAGATTTGCTGATGGATTGGATGAGGAATGGGAGGGAAAGAAAGGAAGCAAAGGATGGTTCCTGGTGTCTGCCATTAGCAACGGTGATCCGCGTTCCATACAAGATGGGAGTTACAGAGACAGAAACAGATCAGGGGAGGAAAATAATTTTATTTTGGACTTAACTAAATTTGAGTTGCTTGTTGGATATCCAACTGGAAATTTTGAATAAAGATTTGGGTATAACAGTCTGGGGCTCTGAGGGGAGGAGAGCTCTGGAAATACACATTTGAGAATCACCAACATGTAGATGGAATTTAGAGCTGCAGACACACATGAGATACATATGTGATACCGAGGGAGAGAATATAGATAGAGAAGACGCAAGTGCTAAGTGATAAACCCTAGGATTCTTCACTGTTGAGACACAAAGAGGAAGAGACTGGGCAGGAGTTGCCGGGAAAGTCAGGAGTGTAGGGTGTCCTGCAAGTCAGTTGAAAGGATTTTAAGAAGAAGGGGATGGATAATAGTAATAATAAAAACCAGTTGCCATCGAGTGGATTCCAACCCATGGTGACCCCTTGTGTACAGAGTAGAACTACACTCCATAGGATTTTTAATGGTTGATTTTTCACAAGTAGATCGCCAGGTCTTCTAAGGAACCTCTGGGTGGACTTGAACCTCCAAACTTTCGGGTAGCAGCCAAGCATTCAACTATTTGCACCACCCAGGAACTCCAATAGTAGTAATAGTCATTGCTTATTGAACGCTTATGGTGAGCTAGGCATTTTCAAAGTGCTTTACATTTAATGAATCATATAATTTTTCCAGAACTCTATAACATAGTATTACAGTAGTACATCATTCTCCTTTTATAAATGAAGAAAACTTGGCATAGGGAGATAAGTAACTTGCTATCTTAGTTATCTAGTGTCGCTATAAAAGAAATACCACAAGTGGGTGGCTTTAACAAACATTTATTTTCTCACAGTGTAGGAGGTTGGAAGTTCGAATTCAGGACACAGGCTCTAGGGGAAGGCTTTCTCTGTTGGCTCTGGGAGAAAGTCCTTGTCTCTTCAGCTTCTATTCCTTGGCTCCTTGGCGATCTTCATGTGGTGTGGTATCTGTCTTCTGCCATCTCTGCTTGCTCACTCTGTCCTATAGGGTCGCTATGAGTTGGAATCAACTTGATGGGCAACAGGTATACCTGTGGTTATAATACCATCTGGGAATGAGTTTTCTTTGTTATATTAATGAGACTATTAGTGTCATCATCATGGGGTTTCCAAGGCAGTAATTTTTACAGAGGAGCCCTGCTGGCACAGTGGTTAAGAGCTTGGCTGCTAACCAAAAGGTCGGCAGTTCAGATCCACCAGCAGCTCCTTGGAAACCCTATGGGGCAATTCTACGCTGTCCTATGCGGTTGCTATGAGTTGGAATCAGCTTGATGGCAATAGGTTTGGGGTTTTTTTGGTTTAATCTTTATGGAAGCAGACTGACACATCTTTGTCCACGGAGTGGCTAGTGGGTTCGAACCACCTACCTTTCAGTTAGCAACCAAGTGCTTAACGGCTGCACCACCAATGCTCCTTTAACCACAGGTATAGGGGTTAGGATTTACAGCATATATTTCGGGGGACACAATTCAAACCATAACACTTGCCCAAGTTCTCACAGCTGATTCAAGACCAGCCCTCTGGCTCCAGAGCCTGTGCTTTTTTCCGAATGCTTTTAAACACTGTATTCTGCTGTCGAGAGTTGAGACATACAAGAACAGAGAATCGACTTTTAGATTTGGCAAGATGGAAGCCATCGGTGACCTAGACAGATTTTAGAAGTGTGGTGGGATGGAAGCCTGGTGGGAGTGGCATAAAGAGACAAAGGAAAGAAGGAAGCAGGGACATAGAGAATCAGCAATTCTTTACAACCGTTGTCTGTAATGGTGTGGTAGTTGGAAGAGTATGTGGGCCTAGGGAAAGGGCAGGATGGGAGATGTTGCAGAATGTTTGCATGCCGATGAGAACAATCTACTAGAGAGCAAGAAAATAATACACAGGTGTGAGAAGGGAAACTTGTAGCAGCAAAGTTCTTGAGTAGGTGAGAAGGGATGGGATCCAGTACACGTGTGCAGACCTGGAGCCCTGCATAGACAGGAAGGCCGTATATGAGCACAGGTATGGGCAGACTCGTAGGCTTGGGAGTAGGAGTATGTCAGGGTTCTCCTCTGATTGCTTCTGTGTTGTCAGTGTGAAAAGCAAGGTCATGACTGAGGTGAGTAGTGGGGAGGGTTTGAGAAAAGAGAAGATGGGAAATAATCACGTAGGAGAGAGGACCACAGGAGAACTGACAAGCGGTACAAAGTGATCGTTTGAAATGTGTGGTCAGGAACAGAAAGAGGCCAGTCAGTTTAATTGTATGTTCTTCTCCAGGCATGCTCAGCTGGGGCACAGACTGGGTGGAAAGTTTAACCAATGCTGGGATCCTCCCAAGGCGACAGAAATGGAGAC